GCCCCTTTCTGAGTGCAGGGGCTGCTGGTAAGGCGTGGGGGCCGTGCGCACACCCCTCATCAGCGCGGCGAGGGAGGACCCGCAGGAGAGGAGCACGGGAACATTGAGCTCCTCTCTCCAGTCAGGCCGGCACAGAGAGCGTACTCCTGGGACTGTCGGTTACGACCGCACCACAGCAGGGAACAGCGGAGTGCCAACGGGAACTGTGAGCGCCATTAGCAGCAACTATAAATTGCGCAAAATTATGTTTTTGTCGAAGTGACACACAACGCGAGTTATGCTCGATTTTTTGCCAATTTTTGACACACCATGCCAAAAAGGTTGCCCATCACTGCCCTAGAGACTCTGGGCGGCTCACAGACAAGACAAGGGACATATATAAAAATTAAAATAAGAATACAATCATTAAAATTACACAGCATGCATACAGTTTAGAGTAGGGCTGGATAAAATCAACAGCCCCAGGCCTGCCAGAACGTGACGTTTAGCAACCTGCAGTCGGTTTTTTTTAAGAGTTTGGTGAAGCCATGGAGGTTTTTCTGCTGGACGTTTGAATGCAGATAGTCCTCGACTTACGACCAGAAACCGAGCCCCACATTTCTCTCGCTCAGTGAGACAGTTGTGACGTGAGCTTTGCCCCGTTTCGCGACGTTTCTCGTCAAAGCCGTTCAACGGCAGTTGATAAGTTAGTAACCCGGTCGTTAAGTGAATGGGGCTTCCCCGTGGACTTTGCTGGCCCAAAGGTCGCAAAAGGGGATGAAAAGACCCTACTCATAAGTCCATGCCGGTTGCCAATTTTGCTCACGTCACCATGGCGACGGTCCTCAGCGCGGAAAACGGTCCAAGGTCCCTTTTTTCCCCCTCCAAAGCCGCTGTAGCTTTGAACGGTCGCTAAATGAACTGTTGTAAGCCGAGGACTACTGGGATAGGGGGGGAAAAAATCCCGGCTATCACCTTTCCTTATTTCTCTTCTCCAGGCCTGAAATTCTCAAGCACGAGATGAAAGTGTTCTTTGTGAAGTACAACGACCCGATTTACGTCAAGCTGGAGAAGCTGGATATTATGATCCGCCTGGCCTCTCAGGCCAACATCGCACAGGTAAAAGTTCTTTTGAGGGGAACTTCTGCCCGCCTCGCGCCGCTCTTCGGATCCATCAAGGATCGAGCAGCCAGATGTTTGAGAGGGTCCGGAGTTTCGAGAAAGAAACCCCGAATTTTGTAGGCCTTCCGTGAAACAGCCCACTCATGTCAGGTTTCCAAAAGAGGCCCGAATTAATTCATGAGCCTCGAGCCAAGTTTCAAAAGAAATCCAGTCATTTGTTAAGAGCGACATTTCGGCCACACCCAAGCGGAGTCAGATCTGACCTCACGTAATTACGGTTGAACTTCCCTCAGTCTGTGTCATAAATCACATTATGATTTATCGTCGTAATGTCCCCAGAGCCACGATCCCCTTTTTGCGACCCTCTGACACGCAAAGTCCATAGGGAAGCCGGATTCACTTAGCAGCCGTCTGGCTAGCTTAACAAACGCAACGCTTCACTTAACAACGGTGGCAAGAAAGGTCGTCGAAAGGGGGGGGGGTCAAAACCCGTCTCGCTTAGCAGCAGAAATTTTGGGCTCCGTTGCACAGTGGCAAATTTAGGACGTATTTACTTTTTATTCTATCCCCGGCTCCCTCCGTCAGAAAAAAAATATATTCCTTCTTAATTTAAGGTGGACGAAATCATATTTGCAACAAAAACTAAGTGGAGTTTTGTTGGCTCGTAGCAGAAGAGAGCCCAGCATTTCTCTGAATCTTCGTTTTATGGGATTTATTTCGCGAATCTTATTTTGCACAACCCGTGCTCGTTACCTCCTCCTGTTTCCAAGAAGGATTTGGGGAGGGGGGGGGTGTTTGCTTCCTTCCCCTGAAATTCCCACATTCCCTCTTGAAGAGAAGGTGGGCTGCGTTTGCCTTAACGTGTCCAGTCTGAATCCCCGTTTTGTCCCTTCGCAGGTGTTGGCCGAGTTAAAGGAATACGCAACCGAAGTGGATGTGGATTTTGTGAGAAAAGCTGTGAGGGCCATCGGCCGATGCGCCATTAAGGTTGAGGTGAGGAAGGACATAACCCCCTAAATAATGAATCAAAATGGAGGGGGTCGTTTTTTTTTTTTTTTTGCTTGTTTTCTGACAGGCGTTTCATGACCCAACTAGGCAATGCCATCAGTGCTAGAAGAGAAGGAATTATAAAGGAGTTATAGGAGTTTTAAAGAGGAGGATGCGACTCCTTCTTTAAAAAATCTTTGGATTCCTGGATCCATTTTCTTCCCTTTCCCCTGCTCTTCCCCTTCTCCTCCTCCTCCTCGTACTTCTCCTCCTCTCTCTCCTTCCCCTTTTCCTCCTTCTCCATCTCCTTCCCCTTCCCCTGCTCTTCTCCTCCTCTTTTTTCTCCTTCTCCATCTCTCTTCTTTCTCTCTTTCCCCTTTCCCTGCTCTCCCCCTCTCTCTCTTTCCTTCCTTCCTTTGCCCAGATCAACATCTCCTTCCTTCTCCTTCTCCCCTCTTTCTTTCCTCTTCTCTGCCTCCCACCCCATCTCTTTCTCTCTCCCCATCCTCCCCCACTTTCCTGCCATTCTTCCCTTCCTCCTTTTCCTTCCCAACTTCCCTCCCTTCCAATTATAGAGCCACCTACCTCATAGCAGTGACTCTGGGAAGTGTACAGCAATTATCCCCGTCACAACAGTATTACTGTATTTTTCGGAGTATAAGACGCACTTTTCCCACCCCTAAAAGAGGGTGGGAAAGTTGGTGCGTCTTATACACCGAATATAGCCATTTTTGGCCTTCGGAAACCCTGCCACGCACATCCTATTTCCCCCCAAAACAGGCTTATTTTTTTGCCAAAATAGGGCGTTTGGGAGGCCTGCAGAATGCTCCCAGGGGCTGGGGAGGGCAAAAACTTTTTTTTATTGTTTACCTCTTCGAAATCATGGTGCATCTTATAGTCTGAAAAATACGGTAACTCCAGAGATAGAGAGACACAGAGAGAGAGAGAGACAAAGAGGAGAGAAAGAGAGGAGAGAAAGAGTGATGAGAGACAGAGAGGAGAGAGAGAAAGAGAGAAAGAGAGAGGGAGGGAGGGAGAGAAAGACAGAGGAGAGAAAGTGATGAGAGACAGAGAAAGAGAGGGAGGGAGGAAGAGAAAGACAGGAGAGAAAGTGATGAGAGACAGGAGAGAAAGAAAGGAAGAGAGAGAGGGAGGGAGAGAAAGACAGAGGAGAGAAAGTGATGAGAGACAGGAGAGAAAGAAAGAGAGAGAGAGGGAGGGAGAGAAGGACAGAGGAGAGAAAGAGAGGAGAGAAAGAGAGGAGAGAAAGAGTGATGAGAGACAGAGGAGAGAAAGAAAGAGAAAGAGGGAGGGAGGGACAGAAAGACAGAGGAGAGAAAGTGATGAGAGACAGGAGAGAAAGAGAAAGAGAGAGAGGGAGGGAGAGGACAGAGGAGAGAAAGAGAGGAGAGAAAGAGTGATGAGAGACAGAGTGGAGAGAAAGAAAGAAAGAAAGAGAAGGAGGGAGGGAGAGAAAGAGGAGAGAAAGTGATGAAACAGAGCGAAAGAAAGAGTGATGAGATCCTCCTTTTCCCCTTTTCGTTAACGATTGACACATGCTGGTTTTGTTTTTCCTTTTCTCTCTCCCCCCCCCCCATTTTCAGCAATCCGCTGAGCGCTGTGTGAGCACGTTGCTGGATCTCATCCAGACCAAGGTCAACTACGTGGTGCAGGAAGCAATTGTGGTCATCAAGGACATTTTCCGCAAATACCCGAACAAGTAGAAACATATTTTTTTCCCCCCTTGGCTGAGGGATTGTGAATTTGCTAAAGAGGTCGGGGATGCATTTAAGAATCAATAAACAGCCTGGCAAGCTGGAGCCGCAGGATGGAGCCAGGCCAGAACGGGGCTGAAAGGAATTCCAAGTGTTCAGAGTTCCGCAGGCTTCGAGAAACTCGCAGATAGGAACAGATGGTTTCTAGGAAAATTTACTGCAATTTATGTGGGGGTGTGGGGGATGCGTGGTTTAGAGTGCAGTACAGCAGGCTACTTCTGCCGGCTGCCTGCAATTTGGCAGTTCGAATCTCCCCAGGCTCAAGGTTGACTCAGCCTTCCATCCTTCCGAGGTGGGTCAAATGAGGACCCAGATTGTTGGGGGGGGCAAGAGGCTGATTCTGTCAACCGCTTAGAGAGGGCTGTAAAAGCACCATGAAGCGGTATATAAGTCTAAATCCTATTATTATTCCTTTGCTCTTCCTTTTCCCCTTCCTTCCTTCCTTCCTTCCATCCATCCATCCATGTTCTATCTATCTATCATCCATTCATCTATACATCTCAAGGTTGACTCAGCCTTCCATCCTTCCGAGGTGGGTCAAATGAGGACCCAGATGGTTGGGGTCAATATGCTGACTCTCTGTAAACCGCTTAGAGAGGCCTGAAAGGCCTATGAAGCGGTATATAAGTCTACTGCTATTGCTGCTATTGGGGTTAAGAGGCTGACTCTATAAGCCGCGGGTTGTAAAACACTGTGAAGCGGCATATAAGTCTTAAGTGCTATTGCTAAGTGTGGAGGGANCTCTTGAACCGACCGTGGGAATGAATTGTTTCCTGCAAAAGCCCCCTCCCCATTCGCTCCTCTTTTGTTTCCTCTGGGAGGGGCCATTCACCATCCCCCTGTGGCCTTATTCCCAAGTCGACCCCTGTTCTTTAGCTGTTCCCTTCTCCTGGCAGCTCTGAGCATGCGCACACTGGGAACAGGCTCCAGCTGTTCTTCTGCTTCAACTGCTGTCTAGCTCCCTATCTGCTTCCGACGCAGAGCCCTCGTCTGAGCGTTCTTCAGCCCCCAGGACTGGCCCATGTTCCTCCCCAACCTCCTCACTGTCCGACTCTGCTTCCAGCTCCGCTGGCTGCCGGGGGGGGGGGGGCCCACAACAACCCCTCCTCTAATATATTAGGGCAGAAATGCTTTGGTTTTCTGCCTAGCAGCTTTCCTGGGATTGTACTTAGGAGAGCTCTTGTCGCTCCAAATGAAAAACCTTGCCACTGGCGGAAACAGCCTTCCTGAAACCGGCGGGTCACCCGTACAGTTTCCCTCCTTTCCATCAGGACTGCGAAGATCCAAACCCCCTCATCCGAGCTCTGGCCGTGCGTACGATGGGCTGCATCCGAGTTGACAAGATCACGGAGTACCTTTGCGAGCCGTTGCGGAAATGCCTGAAGGACGAGGACCCGTACGTGCGCAAGACGGCCGCCGTCTGCGTGGCGAAGCTGCACGACATCAATGCCCAGCTGGTGGAGGACCAAGGATTCCTGGACACTCTGAAAGATCTCATTTCAGACTCCAACCCGATGGTGATTGCCTATTTTATTTTTTTTGCGGGCGAGTTGGGATCATCTTTTTCATTAAGGTGCTAAAACCTTTGGCTGGGCGGGCTCCTGTACTGCAATAGGTAGTAAGAATGTCCTTGAGAGAAGAAAGGGGGAGGAGGAGATGAAGAGAGGGGGAGGAGGGGAGAGGACAAGCAAGAGGGAGGGGAAGGGGATGAAGAACTGAGGGAGGAGAGGATGAGAGGGAATGGGGAGGGGAGGGAGAGGAGATGAAAAGAGGGAGAGGAGTGAGCAGAGGGGAGAGGGCAATCGAGAGGGAGAAGTGGGAAGGGGATGAAGAAATGAGAGGGAGGAGAGGGGAGAGGAGAGAAGATGAAGAGAGGAGAGGGGGAGTGGGGAGGGGAGACGACAAGTGAGGGAGAGGAAGAGAGGCAGAGGGAAGGGGAGGGGATGAAGAAATGAGATGGAAGAGAGGGAATGGAGAGGGACAGGAGATGAAAAGGGGGAGGACAAGGGAGAGGAGGGGAGGAGAAGAGGAGAGGCTGTGGGGAGGGGATGAAGAAATGAGAGGGAGAGGAGAGGGAATGGAGAGGGGAGAGGAGAGGAGGAGANCAGTCAGCTGAAGTGGCCTGCAGTACTGCACCCTAACCACTGCGACACCTCGGCTCTTCGAGGTGAACCAATGGTGGCGCAGTGGTTACCACGCAGTATTGCAGGCAACTCTGCTCACAGCCAGGATGTCAGATCCCTAAAAGCGATACTGCCGTTCAATTGGGAGGAGGGGGGCCTTGGAGTCGATTTATTAGCAGTGCCTGTGACAACTGATATTTTACAACTGGTTTCCTGGCGGCTGAAGCTCCTTGAGATCCCCTCACCTTTTGGGGGAATGTTTACGATGGCCATGTGGGATGTTTTACTTTAATGTCTAACGGAAGATAGCCATGGGAATGTACGTTTATCTGGTTCTCAGGGAAAGTTGGTAAATCAAACATCTTCACACTTGTGTATTTGGCTAAAATCTGCATTCTAACTAATGGGAGGGGTCTCTCCTGCTTTCATTCCACTCGCATTGCCTAAGGGGTATTCAGACGTTGCTTTGAACTTAATGGTTTTCCATTCTACTTAATAAAATGTTCCTTTTGAAACACTCCGTTTCAAGAGTCTTCACTTTCTTAAGCTAGGAGAGGAACCCTTACACAGGAATTCAGTCCTGAACTGCTCAAGGTTATTATTATGTAGCCATAATAACATCCTTCTTAGAAAGACAAGGTCATCTTTGTCTCTGCACCTGGCCGGAACTGGATGGGAGGTTTGTGGAAGGGGAAAATTGGACCATGGGATGGCCTTGTGGGTGAGGGGGCAAGATCTTGAACTTTCAACTGGATGGGAGAATCGGGGAACATTCAGATGCGGGTTTTCCCAGATGTGCCAACGTGGCTCTCTTCATCAATTGGAACTTTGAGGAATACTTTGGACTCTGATTTTATTCTGGATGCTATTTGTGATCCTTACACCTTGACCACTCTGGTCTAATCAGCCCCCAGGATCTCCGTTGGGGCCTGAGAGAATTCCTACGGTCTTCCCCTCTTTGCAGATACGAAAGTGTGATCGCGACCTTGTGCGAGAACCTGGACTCCCTCGACGAACCGGAAGCCAGGGCCGCCATGATCTGGATCGTGGGAGAATACGCGGAGCGCATCGACAACGCGGATGAGCTGCTGGAGAGCTTCCTGGAGGGCTTCCACGATGAAAGCACCCAGGTGCCGGGCCTCAGCGGGTTAGGTTCTGGGGACTGGGATTGGGGTGGGGGAGGAATGGGGAGAGCCTCATGCGAGCTGGAGTACGGGTGGCGTTTGACGTACCATTTAGTGTAGAAATAGACAAATAGATTGAGGTTCACCAACAAAAGGGCGAACGACAAAACCGCGCCTGACTAAACCGCGGTGACAAAACCATGTGTTCTAAAGCGTTCCGACGAATGAGCGCTGAATCGCGCCGACAACAGCGCGGCGACAGAAGCGCGCTGTAAAACTAAACCTAACCTTAAACGTAACGCTAACCCTAAACGTAACGCTAACCCTAACCTTAAACCTAACCCTAAACCTAACCCTTACCTTAAGTTAAATCGGGTTTCTGTCGCGCGCTGTTCTAAAGCGCCCTTCTGTCTCCGCGCTGTTGTTGCCGCGCTGTTGTCGGCACGTTGATGACGTCGCGGTTTTAGCGACGTGGTTTAGTCGGGCGCGGATTTGTCGTTCGCCCTTTTGTCGGGTCACGATAGATTGATAGGTAGACAGACGGCCAGAAAAAGGTGAGTGGATGGATGGATGGATGGATGGATGGATGGATGGATGGATGGANTTGTAGGCAAGTCTTCCTTCTTCCAGTATTGCGCCACCAACAGTCTTGCTGTGCAATCTTATTGGTCTAAGTTATGCGTCCTCCAGAGTTACTACCTATTCGTCTTAACCGGACCGAATAGTTAGGAACCCACCTCTGAACTGCAGGTAATCCTTGAGTTACATCCAATCATTTAGTGGTGGTTTGAAGCGACAACACCCAACTGGAAAAGAAAGGGATGCACAACTGGTCCTCGCACTTATTAGGACTCTTGCAGGATTCTCAATTGTCCCCCTTAACAACTGCAGTGATTCGCAGGTCCCAGTTGTGGGCGTATGTCAACCTTGCTTGAAACTCAGCAACTCAAACTCAACTGTGTGGTAGAGATATTCATGGACTCGGACTTAGAGTAGCCCGAAAACCAAATGTGGGAGGACATTTGATATATAGCAAAAGACAGTGGTGGGATTCAGACGGTTCGCACCTATTCAGGAGAACCGGTTGGTAACTTTCCAGGCAGTTGGGAGAACCGGGTGTTGGAAGAAATCTCCTTTTGTTTTTTCCTACTTTACAGGGCTAATCCTATAAGGAAGGCAGGCAGGAAACATTCTGGTGTTGTTTCTAGACTCATCTTTGTTGCCCTGCTTACAGAAACTGCCTCTCTGGTTAACCCTGATTACATCGCGATAGCTAAGGCGAAGAAGAGCCCATCGACGGGAGTGACGTTGAGTTGGCCACACCCACACAGTCACATGACCACTGAGCCCCACCTGCCCAGCTGGTCATTAGGGCAGCGAACCGGTTGTTCAATTATTTGAATCCCACCACTGTCTTCAGGTAACCTTTGAGTAACAGCCAATCATTTAGTGACGGTTCAAAGCAACAACACCAACTGGGAAAAAAGTGACGTAGAGCTAGTCCTCACACTTATGGCTGTTGCAGCATTCTCAACATCCCCCTTAACAACTGCAGTCAAGGAGTGCCTGTCTAGCACAACCTTCCTTGAAACTCAGGGGCTCAAACTCAACCAGGTGGTAAAGATGAATCAGTGGTAGAACAATTAATCATTGGAACGACTTCCCTCCAGAAGTTGTGAATGCTACAACACTGGAAGTTTTTAAGAAGAGGTTGGATACACCTGAGTGTAGAACAAGAAGCAATGGGTGGAAACTAATCAAGGAGAGAAGCAACTTAGAATTGAGGAGGAATTTCCTGACAGTGAGAACAATTAACCAGTGGAACAGAAGTTGCCTCCAGAAGTTGTGAATGACCCAACACTGGAAGTTTTTAAGAAGATGTTGGATAGCCATTTGTCTGAAACGGTATAGGGTTTACTGCCTAAGCAGGGGGGTGGACTAGAAGACCTCCAAGGTCCCTTCCAACTCTCAATGTACTTGGAGCTTGATTTAGAACAGGCCGGAAACCAAATGTGGGAAGATATTTGATATATAGCAAAAGACCATAAATTGGTTCTGAGAAATTTGAACCGAATGTCCTCCAAAGATGTCTACAATCACAGATCTAGGCTTCACACCAAAATTGATTGATGAGCTTGGCCTCCAAACCTTCCACTGCCTTGAGGATATAATTTCCACATCGGCATAAAAGAAAGTAAGAATGGCCCTTGTGTTCCTTTGGGCACTCTTTAGAATAGACCTTAGTTGGACTTTCCATGTGCTACAGGTATGAAAAATAATTCCTAGATATATATTAGGAAAAAAATAAAACTTCTTCTATTAATTTGACACCGATGCCAGGGGCTTGCAGATCTTTTCATAAAGGCCATAACCTCTTCCCCTCCCCCTTTTGGCTATAATATAATTAATTCATTCTTTATGCAGTGGGAGGTAAAAGATTGTAGTCCTCCCCTCAAGCCAAGTGAGATAACGGCAGCATCTGGGTAAGGAATCTCTTCTTGGTCTTGTCAGCTAAGATCAAGTGTAGAGAGTGGGTGGATAAAATTAAGGGATGGAATGCAATCTTGAGCCTTTATAGAAAAGATGGGGCTATAAATTTAATGATGGAGGAGGAGGAGGAGGAGGAGAAAAGAAGGGAGGGAGGGAGGAGGAAGAGGAGGAGTAGAGGAAGTGGTAGAAGGAGTAGCAGGAGGAGGAGGGGGGGAGGGATGAGGAGGAGGAGGAGGGGAGGAGGAGGAGGAAGAGGATGGAAGGAGGAAGGAAGGAAGGAGGAGGAGAAGGAGGAGGAGGGAGAGAGGAAGAATGGGAGGAGGAAGAGGGGAGAGGAGGAGGAGAAAGGAGGAGGAAAAAGGAGGAGGGGAACAAGAAGAAAAGACGAAGAAGGAGATGAGGGGAGAAGGGGGAAAGAAGGAGAAGAGGAGGAGGGGGATGAGGAAGGAGGAAAGAGAAAGTGGAAGAAGGAGAAGAAAAGAAGGAGGAGGAAGGAAGAAGGAGAAAGGAGGAAGGAAGAAGGAGAAAGGAGGAAGGAAGAAGGAGAAGGCAGGAAGAGGAGAAGGGAGGAAAAGGAGAAGGAGGAAGAAGGAGAAGAAAAGAAAGACAAGGAAGAGGAGGTCTATTTCTTTTAGGAATACTTACCAAATCAAGGGGTCATCGAATGGAGGCACATAAACCCACTCAGGATTGTTCTTCACCAACTCTTTAGCTGCTTTTGTGCTGTCTGCTAATATCTGGAGAAATGAAGTCCTTGTGTTAGATCAAGATGCTAAGAAAACAAAATCAAGAAATATTAACCATTATCTGCAACCTTGAAGAACGACAATATGCTATAGGTACATTGTTCCACTAGTTAATTGTTTTCATTGTCAGGAAATTCCTCCTTAGTTCTAGGTTGCTTCTCTCTTTGGTTAGTTTCCATCCTTTGTTTCTTGTCCTACCCTCAGTTGCTTTGGAGAATAGCTTGACCTCCTCTTCTTTGTGGCAGCCCTTCAAATACTGGAAGCCTGCTATCATGTCACCCCTAGTCCTTCTCTTCATTACATCAGTCCCAGTTCCCACATCCCTTCTTCGTATGTTTTAGCCTCTGTTAAAACATTCATGACCGGGAGAGACATGGGAACAAGGTCAGCCAATGAATAGGCATAGCAACTAAGTCAGTTGGGAGCCAACGGGAGCTTAAACAGAACTGAGTCTGTGCAGAGAATTGAAAATGAAACTTAAGAAGAAAGAAGTCTGCTGCTCTGAGAAGTAAACTAGCAGTCTTGTCTGCGGAAATGAAACTAACTGCTTGTGTTTGCCTGTAACTCTCCTGCCTTGTGTTTACTTGGAGGAACCACCTATTGGTATTGTACATTTATTAATCTATTATTATATATATAAAGAAGTTAATGAATCCTGCTGCATCAGTTATCTGTGCGTGCTTCTGGATTTGAATTTAGGCAACAAACATTGACATCCTCCAGTCCCCTAATCCTCTTGGTTGCTCTTCCCTGCACTCTTTCTAGAATCTCAACATCTTTTTTACATCGTGGCAACCAAAACTGGATGCCGGATTTCAAGTGTGGTCACCACTTAACAGCCCTGGCAAAAAGGATCATAAAATTGGGCCCGGTTCATTTAACAACCCGCCTTGCTTAATGATGGAATTTCCAATTATGGTCGTGAAGTTAAGGATGACCTGTAATAGCAGATCTTCAGATCTGTTTTTGTTCCTCAGCCCACTGTCTCCCCACCTACCTCTCCTTCAACGTACACCGAGCTGCCTTCTTCCTTCAGTCGCTCAATAGTGAAAGCTGGGGTACAGGAGGGGACGTAGATGGTGGCTGGGATCCCCAACATTCGGGCAGAGTAAGCCACCGCAAGGCCGGCATTTCCAGCTGAAAAGGAAAGTTGTTTGACGTGTGATGTGAAGTTCGGTGCTGGGTCGCGAACCCATGGCTGTCAGCTTTCCAGCTGACAAGGTCAGCATCTTTAACCCGTGAGCACCTTCCCCTTAGCAGGTAGTAACCTAAACAACCCATTTCATGCGCTAGAAGAGCCATGGTGGCTCAGTGGTTAGAGTGCAGCATTGCAGGCTACATCTGCTGCCTGCCGGCTGCCTGCAATTCATCAGTTTATATTTCACCAGGCTCAAGGTTAACTTCAAGCCTTCCAAGGTGGGTAAAACAAGGACCCAAAATTGTTGGGGGGCAATATGCCGACTCTGTAAACCGCTTAGAAGGGGTTGTAGAGCACCGTAAAGCAGTATATAAGTCTAAGTGCGGTATATAAGTCTATGGTGGTGGTGGCCTTCCATACTTTTCATAAGGACTTATGGAAGGTTTGTTGAGAATGGAGAAACAATATAAACCTTGTGTTCTGGCTGAGGCTTCCCGAGAGCATGAAGCAAACTCCTGGTCCTGACAAAAAACCCTTTTATTAATTGGCTGTGAATTCTGCTCATTCACATCCAGCAAAGTCTTTCGAGGGAGGATTTACGGTCACAGACCTTATCTGGCTTGGAGAGCTGCCAGGCCGATCTCTGCAGAACTTGGCAAGGAGTCTCGGAGAGTCACGAACCAATGAAGCGAACTAATTGTCTCCTGCAAACTCCACTCCCCTGTCGCTCCTCTTTTATTTCCTCTGGGAGGGGCCATCCACCTGTGGCCTTACTCCCATGTTAACCCTTGTTCTTTAGCTGTTCCCTTTTGTCTGGCAACTCTGCACATGCGCAGACTGGGAACAGGCTCCAGCTGTTCTTCTGCCCCACTGATGTCCGACTCTGATGGCAGCTGATAACTGTCAGATGGCCCTGGCCCCCTCTCTGCCTCTGACACAGAGCCCTCATCAGAGCCCTTCCCCAGACTCCAGGACTGGCCCATGTTCCTCCCCAACCCTCCTCACTATCTGAATCTGCTGCCAGCTCTGCTGGTGGGCCACAACCCCTTGACTTTCATAGCTCAGTCATGTTACTTTTACCCTACATCACCTAATAGACTGGGGCCACTGCATAGCCTTCATCCGTAGTGAACCCCCCTTTCCCACACAGTTGCTGACCCAATACTCATATTTGTTGGAAGGCCGCCCTGGGTATCCATTTACCTGAGGAAGTGATGAAGTGCTTGCACCCTCGTTCCACCCACTGTGGAAGCAAAAAGCAGACATGTGAGAAGGTGGCATTCTTCATGGCAGAAGAGAACTTCCACTGACTGGAGGCCTTTCTCAGTTGACGTCCCTTAATGTAGTCACAAAAATAGAGGAATCCCCGTTTCTTCGAATATAGCTGAGCATTTGGATCGCGTTAGTTGGGACTGATGGATATGTTCATTCATCAACATCCCCAAGTCATGACTTAATGCATACGTGATGGGAATATTAATTGAGGTTATCCTCAACTTATGGCCACAACTGAGCCCAAAATTTATGTTGCTAAGTGAGACATTCAAGTGAGTTTTGCTCCACCTTATGAATTAGAAGGAATTTTCCCCCCCTTAAGCTTCTAACACCTACAACACTGGTTATTTCATTCATCATCATCTTCTTTTAATGATCCCTTTCAGGTCTGGGCAACGGAATGGAGTGTTTACTGGCCGGATGCTCATCCTGTTGCCAATGAGGAGTTTTGTGCAGCAAAGATATTCTCATTGTGCCCAGAGAGAGAAATATCTGCCTCTACCTAGGTTTGAACTCACCGCCTCCTGACTGTGAGGTGAGAGCTACACCTCTAGGCCACTGCACCACAACACTGGTTATTTCATCAACATTAAAGGGCTTCCAGCAAAGGATGAATCATCATCTAGCAGAGATGTTCTACAGGCCCCTGGACCAAGCAGAAATTGGGCTAACTAGATGGCCGATATTCTACCTTCTGAGGCAAGGATTCCATAATTCTCTTTTTAAAAAAAAAAAATTAAAACGTCAACTAATTGGCTGAACTTGGTTCTTGAAGCCTTTGCTTCAAGCACTGTCAGATGTGAATTTGACAACTCCCTTTGGGCCCCACTCCTAGGATCTCTCTCCAATCCATACCGTTTTGCAGAAGTTCCCGATGCCCCGTATCTTAAAAGAAGCTGTGGGTTGGGAGCACTCCAGTTTGAGATAGACCTTGGTGCCAGCCAACTTGGAGAGCGGGGTGCTTTCTCTCAGTGGTGTGTTTACATGGAGATGATCAGTAGGAGCCATCTAGAGGACTGAGAAAACAAAGATGGTGAGATCCAGAATGATTGAACTCAAGAGCCCTTGGTTAGAATATTCATGACCGGGAGAGACATGGGTAACAAGATCAGCCAAGGAATAGGCATAGCAACTAAGTCAGCCAATGGGAGCTTAAACAGGTCTGAGCCTGTGCTGAGAATTGAAACTGAAATGATTCTGTTTTCTCTTAACTCTGAAATGAAACTAATGATTCTCTCCTGCAAAAAAAATTTGCTTGCCAAACCAGCAGTAATGCTGGTAGCAACCCACCCCTGATTTGTATGCCACTCAAACTCATGTATGTAACATGACAGTTATACAAATTTAATAAATAAATAAATAAATAAATACATAAATAATCATACTGTAGCTTCCCGCTGTCCCTCGCTTCCTTCTTTTTATATAAAGCACCACACAGAGCAAACAAAGGGTACAGTCACCATGTGCTTTACTGCTCAACTATATTACTAAAACAGGAAACAAGCAGAAAACCTGAAAAGAGCACAGAATAAATACCATAAAGGCAGATTTTGAAACACTGCCATCTATTGGCTAAATACTACTGTAGCTGTTGTATAAAAATATATTCCAACAATGAATTCAATTCCTTCCTTCCTTCTTTCCATTCATTCATTCATTCAATTCATTCCTCCTTCCCTCCTTCAATTCATTCATTCATTCAGGCCTATAAAACTAATGAGGTGTTGGGTTTTTAAATTTATGTTTGTGTGTGTGCCTTTGAGTCAAAAGTGCTGCCTTCCTTCTTAGGGCTTGAGAGAGCGCCTGGCTGAAGTTCACCCAATTGGCTTTGCGCCTAAGGTGGGACTAGAACTCACGGTACCCTACTTTGTAGCATGGTACCTTAATTACTTCACCATCCTGGCTCTCAATGAGTTTTTAAGATGCCATGAAACTTTCCTTCAGCTTCCTGGCATCTCCCCTATCCACATATCTTTTTTTAATAAAGTTTTTTTATTTTTTATATTTTTATACATCTTATTGCGTGAATGGTTTGATTCCTGGGTGTCATACAGTTCAATACAAAATAAGCATAACAGTATTAGTCCTAATAATTACATTTTATTTTCATTTTTAGTTTTACTAACACATAGCCTCTACAACCATCCTTCAATTCTCAACTTTCTCATACTTCTTCCATATGTTGCATTATCTTAACATCTGTTTTTACTACTTTCCCCCTCTTATTTCTACCTCTTGCCCCCGACTCCTTCCCTTACCATTCTCATATTCAAAGTCGTGATCCTTTGTTTTCCTTATTCAATATTTCAATATGCACTTCTAACATCAATCATGGCCTTTCAAGCATTTAAGGTATATTCATTGTTAATCACATTTTTTTTTACATGTTTAAGTCCACATATCTGAACTGCAAACATTGGCATGGCCAGAAGATGGCAGAAAAGAACTGTTTTTGGAGGCGCGTGTTAGATGGCTGCCCCCTAGGGGCTATCTGGATTTCTGCAGCCCAGATGTGTAAAAGGCTTTCCCTATGTCAAAGCAAATGGCACCAGAGGTCTCCCAGCTAGCTAGAGGAAGTGCTTATATAGATGGCTGCTGTCTTCTCCACTTCTGGATGAAATCCAACTCTTCAGCTGTTCAGGGGTGAGTAAGCAGTGAAGGCCCATTGTTTCTCCCGAGGAGGGGACCGATGGGGTTTTCAAAGCTTTTTTTTCCCGTCAAAAGTTAATCCGGGGAATTTCAGCTGTTCCCTGCGTGTCAGTTTCTCTGCTTCTATTCAGTTGTCCTATCAGGAATGGCGCAGTGTCTTTGTCCCATGTTGAAGCTATTTCCTCTCTGACCACTGTGAGAATCCAAAGAATCCACACGTCTATCTGTCTGTCAGCCTTCCTGCCTGCCTGCCTGTCTCCCTTTCTCTCTCGCTCTCCCCCTCTGTCTGTCTGTCTGTCTGTCTGTCTGTCTGTCTATCATCTATCTATCTATCATGTATCTCTTTATCTATCTGCCTCTCCTCCCACCTCTCTCCCCATCTGCCTCCTAATTCTGTCTGTCTGTCTGTCTGTCTGTCTGTCTGTCTGTCTATCGATCCATCTATCGATCCATCTATCTATCTATCTATCTATCTATCTATCTATCTATCTATCTATCTATCTATCTATCTATCTATCTATCTAT